ACTCTAGAGAGAGTCTAGGCCTTTGGAAGGATAGCCTCTGGAAATTAACAGAATCCATCAGCTTCTTGGTGCAAAAAATGCTACTCTCTTCTTTCTTCCTGCAGAAACTTGAAATCATTCTGATCCAAGCCTTTGAACATGGTGAAAAATCCTAGATATAATGCCGAATAAGCCAATGAGACTAAATAACTCTGAATTCTAATTTCAGAGGGACCACACATGCCTATCTTGTCCCCTGTGCGTAAGGAAATAATATTTTAGTGCCCTCTGTGGGGTTTTATAGGTCAGAACTAGCAACTAGATGCATGTCTGAAAATCAACAGAAAGGCAGGACTGGCAGATGGTGAAGACCTGATGTGGGTGCCATGTGCTCCTGATTTGTCAGGAGGCAGACTGTTGTGTTCAACACTAACTGAAGCTTCTCAAAGTCATCCAGGCTTTAAAGAGTATTAGTCCGTTTATCCTCCTGAAATCCATTACACTTACCAGGAAAGAGAGAGAGGGAGTATTGTAAATCTGATAGCTTCCCCCCTGCTTCTCTGTTCTATTTGTCCTCCAGCCCTTTTGGCTCCTGTAGTCTCTAGGCATTTTAGGAAGCTGGAATCAGCCAGGTTTGTTCTATGCTGCCATAACAACTGTCTCCATGGAAATGGAGCTCCAATGAGGGAACTTTTGCAAAGTCTGTTCCAGCACCCTCCTTATCCTTGCTCCATTTCAGAACCCATTTTAAAATTAAAACAAAATGTTGCCAGCCACCAGAGACTTTTCCGTTCAAGTCCCCCAGTTCTCCCATTTCTTTCTTTCTTTCTAAGCTGAAATTGCACTGCACGAGTCGGGCCTCATCCCTTAGCCGGGATGCCAGACAGGGCGATCTTGATGTACTTCCTCTGAGCTGAGCAGTGTGCTGGGCGAATCTATCAGACTGGATTTTACTGTTGCAAAGTAAGAGTAAGAGCTTGCATCTGCACTCTGCCCTGGGTTCCGCAGTAACATAATTGTGCAGTCACCTTCAGTTTCTTAACGGGATGGGCCCATTTTTCATCCCTAGTGATCAGCACAAGCCACTTAAGTCGCCTGTTAGAGGGATTGATGCATGTGGATTGTCGATTAGAGGTCAATTTGGTGACCTGTTTTGGTAATCCTTGCATTTTGTGAATGCCTTATCAAAGCGGATTTATGTATCACTATAATAGTAAGTCTTACGGTCCATGGGGTCTCTGCCATGGGAGCATATTCACCCAGTGCTTTTCCAGCTGCACTGGATCCTTGTGGAGTACAGGGTCAGATTTAAGGTGCTGGTTTTGACCTTTAAAGCCCTTCACGGCCTAGGACCCTCGTACCTACGGGACCGCCTCTCCTGGTATGCCCCACGGAGAGCCTCAAGGTCCATAAACAGCAACACCCTAGTGGTCCCGGGCCCTAAGGAAGTTAGATTAGCTTCAACCAGAGCCAGGGCCTTTTCAACTCTGGCTCCGGCCTGGTGGAACGCTCTGCCTCATGAGACCAGGGCCCTGCAGGATCTGATTTCTTTCCACAGGGCCTGTTAGACAGAGTTGTTCCGCCTGGCCTTTGGCTTGGAGCCAGTTTGATTCCCTCCCCCTCTTTCTTCCCCCCCCCCTTTCTCCTCCTGAGATGAGGCTACATTTTAATATTTTAATGTTTCAATATTTTAATGTTGTATTTTAATGTTGTTTTTAAGTTTTATTCATTCCAACTTGTTTTTATTATTGCTTGTTAGCCTCCCTGAGCCCGGCCTTGGCTGGGGAGGGCGGGGTATAAATAAAAAGTATTATTATTATTATTATTATTATTATTATTATTATTATTATTAGTGGACGCTGAGGGTGGAAAACTAGGGTTTCTATTAGCTTTCCTTGGGAGAAGGCAAAGACTTGGCTGCCGAAGGAACAACTGGGAGTCCTAAAGGCCGCTCCCAGTTATTATTTGGCAAGTGAGGCTTGCTGTTGGCACTGATCATCGATGACAGCAAGCCCCGATAGGTGCAAGTGGATCCCTGCTCCAAACAAGTTTTCCTGATAGCACTGATGGGCTCTTACAGCAAGCCCTACTGGGTTACTGATGTCATGGTGACATTAGATGGGTGCCCCAGTTGTAGCCTATTGCTACTAGGGAGAAACTGCTGGAACCACAAAGGACAAGCTTCCCCACCCGCCTTGCCCCACTGCCCTGCCTGGGACCCTTACAAAGAGAAAGTGCTGCTTACATTTTCCCTCTTGCTCGCTCAACATTTTTCTGGGGGGATGCTCTTCGTCTTTTTGGAAGGAACAAGAACACATTTGGCTTTTGAAATGTTAAGGTTTTGTTTTGAATCTGTATCATTTATATCGTTTGCAACCTGAAGAAGTGTGCATGCACACAAAAGCTCATACCAAGAACAAACTTAGTTGGTCTCTAAGGTGCTACTGGACAATTTTTAATTTTTTAAAATATATTTCTACTGTGTCAGACCAACAGAGCTATCTACCTGAATTGTTTGCAGGTACATTTCTTTGTAAGCTGGCCTTGGGGGCCTTTCTTGGGGTAAATAGGCAGCATATAAATACAGTGCAAAGAAAAAACATAATTTGAAAACTGTGTTAGCCCTATCATGGAAAGTGTGAATCCAATCCAAGTAACCAAAGCAAATGGAGCGCCAAGGAAAATTTGGTCATGGCTATTGTCTGAGCATATAAATTGACTCAGCAATTCAGGATCTAAGAGGCCTCCCTTCTCCCGCCAGCCCACCACTTCATCGTCTCTCCTAAACTACAAGGCCCCAAAATCTTTAGGGAAGATGATTTAACTCTGATCATTTTAGCTGCCCGTTTCAAGCTGAAATATCTTTTTTTGAGATGGGGATAACCAGAATTGTACACAGTATTCTAGCTAGGCCTGCACTGCAATGGCAAGGTGCATGATGTTATTTCTGCTCCTTTCCTAATAATTCCTTACACTGATTCTGCCCTTTTCACTGGTGCAGCACAGTGAGTTGACATTTTTAGCGAACTTTCCACTATGACAAGGAACGTTCCTGGATACTCAGAGCCAATTACACATTGTCAGTAGAAAGGTAAAATTAGGGTGCTGTACTTCCAGCTGCCATTCTGTTGCCTAGTCACCCACTTTGGACTCTTTTGGAGGTTTTACCATCTGCTTGAGTTTCTACCATCCAGAATTTGATGTTTCCTGCAACTTGACTGCCCTGCTGTTCAGTCATATTATTTTAAGGGCGAGCAATGCCCAAACATTTCCCTGGCCTGCTGCAAACTTTTAATGTTTGTTCTTCTAAAGTTAGAGGATTGATTGGTGCTCATGAGTTTCTTCTTTCTTAAATACTTTGAGCTTCAAGCTCCCTGATTTATATTTATAGTCCCCCAGTTTGTATTTCTTGTGTCGACAAGAGTTTGTTATTTTTGTAGAAGTCTGGTGGGCAGTATAGGCCTTTGGCTTGCCAAGTTTTGTGCTGTGTGATGGAATAGTGGGGGGTGAACCTGGGGAGGGGGGTTAATGGGGATGGGATTGTGGGGGGCAGTTTGCCAGTTTTTCCTTCCATGCTTTAAGAATGGACTGTGTGAACCTGTTTAGCGTTGTGGAGATGTTCCTTAGGTATACCTTTGTTTTGACCTGTGGGAGGGAGCGCTTTGGGAGGTGGGGCAGGGCGAGAGGAGAGGCTTGTTCTGTGAAAACTGAGATTGCTTCTATATCCTGGAACTGCGTGATACCAGGCCAAGGAGTGTGTGCACCTACTTTCCAGTGACTTGGAAAGGGCAGCACCGAGTGCCGGCCATGCCATTCCGATCTTCTGTCGCAATGGCTCATGTGTCACCCTGTTCAGCAAACTCAAATAGTAGAAGTAAATCCAGTTGTCATAAAAAAAGTAATAAATTGTGTAAAGTTAGTGCTGCCTGCCTATTTTTTTTTCCAGAGTTCACTGTCCTCCATTGTCCTGTCCCTGTTTTTAAGCATTTGCCTCTTGTTGTTTTTCCACATTACCATGACTGACCGCAGCTGTCCTTTTGCTTAGTCTATTTTTAACCTTTTTCTTTTGTCTGGAGGCTACCCAAAGCTAGACAGAATTGAGTGGGGAGGGGGGCATTTAGTGTGATTGAGTCCCATGATGTGAAATGCAAACTCTCCCCCCCCCACAGCCCCCCCACAACATTGGCAATGCTTTACTTTCTGGCACTGGAGGCAACCAAAGGGTGACTTGCTAGTCTTAGCTCTCTGGAGAAGCCACTCGGGCCATTTTAATACAAATGTTATTAGTGGCACAACAGCTGGCACTCCTCAGTTTAACCTAGCAGATTTGTCATCCTTATGGATTAGCATGATGGAAAATGCAAGGTAAATATTGGGAGGGGTTGGTGGTCGGGAGAGGAAAAGTTGTTTCAGGCTGCTTTCCCTGTTATCTATTAGAGGTAAAGGCAAAAGGTAAAGGATCCCAGGACGGTTAAGTCCAGTCAGATTCAACTATGAGGTGCGGCGATCATCTCTGCTTTTAGGCCAATGGAGCTACGTTTGTCTGCAGACAGCATTTCCAGGTCATGTGGCCAGCATGACTAAACCGCTTCTGGCGCAGTGGGACACTGTGACTAGTGCCAGAGCGCATGGAAATGCTGTTTACCTTCCTGCCACAGTGGTATCTATTTATCTACTTGCACTGGCATGCTTTCAAACTGCTAGGTTGGCAGGATCTGGGACAGAGCAACAGGAGCTCACCCCGTCACGTGGATTCGAACTGTCGACCTTGTGATCAGCAAGCCCAAGAGACCACAGCACCACCCATGCCCTATCGGAGTGAGAAGGATATCCTAGGGTTGATATAAAGGCATGTGGACTTGTCCACTGAGGCTCCTGGAGCTCTCCTTGGGTAGATCTGAGCACCATTTTAGGCTTTCGCTTGCAGCTTGCCCTGTTCTTGTTTGCTTGCTTTTCTTTGGTCTTTGACTCTTCTTCCGTTCATCCATTTTAATAGCCAGCTTCTTACTCTCTTCTCCCAGGAAACAGGAGCAGTTCCAGGCAAATCCTGACAGTTACAATGGAGCAGTACGGGAGAATTACGCCTGGTCCCAAGACTACAGTGATCTGGAGATTAAAGTCCCAGTGCCCAAGCACATTCTGAAGGGCAAGCAGGTAATAAAAAGGAGGAACGGGGTTGTTGGGTGGTCCACTGTGGGTGAGGATCTCTCCCAATATCTTGCCTGCATGGGACAGAGATGCTGGTCTGGGTCAGTACAAATGTACTTTATGCTGTAGTTGTCTCTAGCTGTCCACCAGAGGGCCACACCAAATTGCCTTTCGACTGCAGCAGAATGCAGGCATGTAGCTGAGAGGCCTGTAGAGAACAGCTGTTAGCAGGGCGCTCCTTGTTCTGCATGTTCTTCTCCATACTTAACCAAACACTTTAGAGCTCTGCTTCTGATCTATCAGCAGAAAGTTTTGCACATTTCTTGCTCTTCCCCCGAAAAAAACCTCTGCATAGTTATTCAAAATAGACCTGTACCTAAACAAATTTAGAGATCCAAAAGAAAAGAAGGGTCCATTCCTCAGTGGTAGAACAAATGGCAACCCCTGGCATCACCAGTTAGCAGAATCCTTTGCCTGACACCCAGGAGAGCGCGACTGCCAGCTAGCATTGGCAATAGTGTGTGGATGTTGCTGGACAGAATAGGAAAGCCCTAGTCTGCAGTTTGCAGTAGTCTTAAAATTGAATCAGAGAGACCACCTTCATGACCACCTGCAATTTTTGTCTGCACCCATAAATATTACATTTGAATTGCCTTGGGACAACTACCCAAGGTTTTCCCCCCTTTTGTTTCTGGCTTGTTCACTCAGGTTCATCCCTCCTTGAATGTGTAAAGTGAATTGAAAGTCACTGTCCTGTGGCCAGGTCCTGATTCGCTTCTTTTATCTAAGGAAAAATGGCTGCAGGATTATCATCTCCGCTGGCTGGCTGTCAGTTCCCTATAAAACCACAGTGAAAGAGCCCAACTTGATCAGCAAAGCCTACCTTTTGCATGATCATCACCTCAGTGTTGTTGATCTAAGATATCAAACCATTATTGTGTAAACAGCCTCATTGATGTTGAGATGGTTTTTCCTGGGGGATGTTATTTCCCAGGATTCCTTTTCTGCTGTGTTCCCTGGGACTCATGCCTTGCGGAGTGTGAAGTATTTTTAACTGTTGAATGCTGGAGAATTTTCTGATTCTGCAAGCAAAGACTGTTTGCAGGGTGTGTGCAGATAGAGACAGTATCTGCTGCCGAAGCACGTAGCAAATGCAGGCATATATTTTTTCTCCATGTGGTTTCCTTGGTCTAAGCATGCTTCGCTATCCAACTTCTCCTTGGAAGGCAGGCCAGCATCAGTAAACCTCATGTGATCAGCTTGCTGTGGAGAAGCCCAAATGTGTTTATGTTAAGCCTGATGGTTGCAGAAAAGAAAACTAACTTTGCTTCACAGGTTCCTCTTTCCTCCCCGTTCATTTAGTAGCTTGTAACATTAAGAGCTCCCAGGTGGTGACGGTGGAAATTCCACACCCTTTTAATTCTCATTCTCTCTCTCTCTCTCTCTCTCTCTCTCTCTCTCTCTCTCTCTGCCTCAGCACACAGGCACGCACACACACACAATATTTTTTCCCCTGGACAGAAGAATGATGTAATTTATTTTGTCAGTCTGAGAGAGGCATATCTCTACTGCAGCCCCATTATTGAGGGGGAGGTTGAAGAGACGTACACAGACGGACTTACTGACTGAAGTGGTTAGAGTGAGGGCTTATTTTCACTTCCTGCTATCAGAGAAGCTGTTAAAAGAAGGGAGGGGAGGAGTGATATTTTGTGTGTGCGTGTGTTTTTCCATCTGGAAAAAAGGCTTGTTTTTCTTCCCCTCGGTTTATTCAGGGCAGCTGAATTGAGCACACTTAGTTTTGTACATCAGCTTCAACCTACACAGCTCTTTGTCATGTCAGAATAGCCCTGTTGTTGCAGGAGCATTAATTGACACTGACAGTACAGACCTAGGGGTAAGAGTTGATAGCACACTTAACAGTAACTGGGCAGCTCGTTGAGGAAGCTCAAAATGCAATTTATTTATCATCCTTACGACAAAGCAAAATTTCAGAATGTCGGCCTAGATGTTGAAGCATGGCAGGGGGTGCAATAAAGCACAAACTTCCCTTCCTGCTGTGAACTTGCCATGCTCATGGCTAGTTTATTTGCATTTTCCTCTGTTTAAATCCTTGCGTGGGATCAATCTGCAGTATTCTTTCTTCTCTCCCAACCTCCTGTTCTTGCATGACATTAAATACAAACACATTGGGCGTGTTCACATGGTACACTAAACCATGATTCAGTTGTATGTGCACAAGCAATAGCAAGCATCGGTCTTGTGTTCCCTTCCTTCCCCACTCCTTTGGAGTTGCCGCAAGGAGGGAATTGAAAATTTTATTTCTGCTTTTCACTGCCTATGGTTGCTCATTTATATCCAAACCTGGACAAACTGTGATTAGCGTTAACTATGGTTTAGGGAAGCAAAGCCATACATCACACTGTAGTTAATGATCCTGGCTAGTTTCCTAAACCATATTTATCCCAAACCACAGTTCTCAGGACCTAATGAATAAATTAGCTGAAAGCAGAAGCAAAAGTTTCCAATCTCCTTGCAGTTCAGCGGGTGGAGGATAACGGAAGGGGGATTGCATGAACCCAGTACTCATGCATATAACACTAAACTATGGCTTAGCATTGTGTGTGAACCAAGACATCTTATTATTCGCTGAAAAACATAGGGAGGAGCCCTCCGGGGTTAGATTGATCTACACCAGGATAACGTTTCTCACAATGGCCAGCTGGGTGCTTACACACTCCGCTGTTTGTCCCTCATCTGGTGTCAGACTTCCTCTGAATATGTAGACTTTATTAAGCTGTCCTTGCCAATAGCTATTGATAGGGCCTGTCCGCTATAAATTTGCATTTAAAGCAATGCAAGCCATTGAACACGGTCATATTTTGTGGCAGAAAACTCCATAAATTACTTATGCATTATATGAAGAATGATTTTCTTTAAAGAGCCCAGAGGGACCTAGGCAGGAACGGCGAGGGTTCAGTTAGCTTGGAGAAAAGGGGGCAGCAATAAATCATAGAGAGCTTGTGGTTCTATTTTTCACCCTCAGTCCTTTTTTATTTTATTTTAATGAGCAGCCTAGCATGAGCAGTGAGTACGCTTACTGTCCCTGAAAGCCACAGTTTGATAACTGATGTAGTCACTTCATGTTATTTTCAATCTCATTTTATTTTGTGTTCCTGAATATGAATCCATCTGCCATACAGCAACCCAGTTTCACTGAAGGAAGGCTAATCTTTGTAATCAGAAAACAGAACTAGCTTAGCACTGTTCTTTTTATTAATATACAAACCTAAATTGATTGAACATGCTTTTATTTCAATCATTGTTGGCCCTTTGATTTGGTGTTTTTAATGCTATGTTTACCTTATATAAAGCACAACAGAACGAAAACAACAGGGAATGGGGTTTCCTTTGTCATTTTAACCCTATCCTGTCATCTCAGTTTCTGAGATGTTCACTGAAAGCTTGAAATTAGAAGAAAATAGTTCTCTTGCTTACAACACACACACACACTTCTCATTTTGGGGAGAGTATTTTGTTGACTTGTTTCTATGCTTTCAGTAGGCGTTTGTGGGTACATTTCTGCGAGAAGCAATTGAGGTTGAAAGCCAAGTCAGTGTTGGGTTTAATTTCTGAGCTCTCTAAGGCCTGCGACATTCTCTTAACTGAAGCTTCAACATCTGATTCTACATTTTGAAAATGCCCTGCCTCCTGCACAGCTACAGCACATCTTCAAATGTGCCGTACTTGTGGGTTACAACTGGAGTGATAACTATAGCTGAACCAAAATCTCAAGTTTTTAGTCTTTGTTCTGCTTTTTTGAAACACAATAGGGTTTGCTTCCCTCCTCCAGATGTGCATTGTGAATGGCATTCATTTGTGAGGGGGCTAGAAAGGACTATAACTGCGTTCTCCTTCCCCCTGTGTGCCTGCTCAGCACTTAATTGCCCAGCTGAAGAAATGCTGTTACAACTATTGAGCTCTGTGTGTGTCAAATCTGCACCCTTTTTTAATCCTTTTCACTGTCAAGGTTAATTTGTTGGAGCCCTGGGCTCTTCATTTTCATAGTATACATAGTCTCAGTAGGGCACAAAAACGTGTAAATCATTGCATAATAGCAGTGTGTCCTGTTTATAACACTTTTATAAGTCCACTATTGCTGTTTGGTGATAAATGAAGCAAGGAACTTTATTTTGATTGTGAAAACCTGGCCTGCAACAACAGTGTCATGCACAGCATACGTGCAAGGTGTGCAGTCTGTCCAGTCCAGTGATCAAAATTCTTTGTGTCCAGCCAATCTGATGAAAAGGCTATGTTATTTGGTCCAATACAGTTGCAGTGTTGTGCATATTCTATGCATTTACAAAAGGTTTAGTCCTTACTAGGTCAGGAGAAGAACTGTGGTCACTGGAAGGTAAAGTTGGGGTTCTGCTAAACATAAGTTGGGGTTCTGATAAACAGAACTTCCTGTGGTCAGAGTGGGGCTTCATTGCTGCTGCTTCATTCTGCATAAGTAATGGTCCTCAAATATTTTCAACTGTCTTTCTGGAAGGAACTATGCTCATGACAGTGCCAATAAAGCAAAAATCGGGTCCCAAAAGCAAAGCACATTACAGTATAATGATAAATTCTGCCCTATAGCTCATTTTCCTTTCATCATCTTTTCGTCCTCCCATTTCCCCAGGGCTTTCTTCTAAGATTATCCTCATGACTTATGTTTTGGTTTTTTGTTAGTGCTTCTTTTAATACTACATTTTCTAAAAATAGACTAAATTGTTGCAAGATAAGCAGCTCCTTCTGACATTCCTTTGCAGGCACACACAACCCTTTTTAGTATACATATTTCTTCTAAGTTCTGGATTAGTAACCTACTTTTCCATTCCTGGCTTGCTGCACAAGGTATTCATCTCTTCTAAGACTCGATAGTCTGCTCTAGACAATTATCTCTCAAAAGTGTCCCATTTTATTTTTAGTTCTTTCCATCTTTCAAATGCAGTTGCGACACAGTTACTTACTGAAGCAGTCTCCATCTCTGTTTACTTCTTACTCTGAGAAGATGAGTCACTAAAAGTTACCTAAACAGTGATAGCACATGAACATTTCAAGTGAGATCCAAACTCTGAATAAAGTCTTCAAAAACATGCAAGCATATCTATTGCAAACTCTCATGCTTTTAAGGAGTTTGATTTTTAGGGGGGTGGGTAGGGTTTTTTAGTTTTCAATATGAAGACCATATATGAGAGTCAGTTTCTTTCCTCACCACACATCACCATTTCCCCATATATAGGATTAGGAAGACCGAATATACAGCAGTACTATATTGCCCTTGCCTCCCTTGACAAGCGGCAAGTCACCTGCCCCACATATCTTGCTGGATTTGCCATATGACAGTCTCCGCGGTTCATCATGATAATTGTACACAATCATGGTACTGATCATAGAACCTCTGGACCCGATGTCTATATGAAAGAAAGCTTTGCAGGCTTTCCCCCATAATTTACACTCTGTTTTGTTTGTTGTTAACTCAAGGAATTTCACTAGGATATGTTAAAGAGTTCTTTTAATGTATAGAAATTATTTTTGTCTCGATCCCTTAGAATGATCAGGGTTACTTTAGTAAGCCTCTATACCTTGGAATAATGGTGGAAATTATATACAATTATAGCTTTCCTTATCTGAGAGGGTCTTCTTAGTCCTAGTCTCTCACTATGCCAACATTGTTCTTTTTAAAACAAAACCTGTGTTGTGTTTTGTCTTTTTAAGTGGCCCTGGGCCCTTTATAGTAAAAACGAAAGGCAAGATAACAAACGATAAGAGATATTTTAAGTTACTCACTGTAAACCTCTGGGACGTGGGTGGCACTGTGGTCTAAACCACAGAGCCTAGGGCTTGCCGATCAGAAGGTCAGCATTCGAATCCCCTCTATTCGAACAGGGATGAGCTCTTGTTGCTCGGTCCCAGCTCCTGCCCACCTAGCAGTTCAAAAGCACGTCAAAGTGCAAGTAGATAAATAGGTACCGCTCTGGCGGGAAAGTAAACGGCGTTTCTGTGCGCTGCTCTGGTTCGCCAGAAGCGGCTTAGTCCTGCTGGCCACATGACCCGGAAGCTGTCTGTAGACAAACGCTGGCTCCCTCAACCTATAGAGCGAGATGAGCGCTGCAACCCCAGAGTCGTCCGCAACTGGACCTAACGGTCAGGGGTACTTTTACCTTTTACTGTAAACCTCACTGTTTGTCCCGCATTGTAATTCCATTCAGGTCATCTGGAAGGAGCAACAAAGGGTGAAATTACCTTTCTAATTTTCTTCTCTATCGTTTTTCCTCCCTCCAGGTTTCTGTGAACATCGGTAGTAGTTCAATTTGCGTGGCTGTGGTGGAGGGAAGTGGGCCGCGTGTGCTCATGGAAGGCACCCTCACTCACAAGATCAACACAGAGAACTCTGTCTGGAGTCTGGAACCAGGAAAGTGTATCCTCGTAAGCACAACTTCTCCTTTTCACTGGGCATGTGTGTTCTCGGTACATGTCTGCTTCCCCCTCGAAAGTCTCTGAGCTTTAGTTGCTTCTGGGTTGATTTGGGAATGCCAAGACTTCTTCTTGAAGGCTGGAACAGAGACATTGCTTCCTTAGCTCTGCTACAGAGCTACCAATTTAGCTGCACCAGAAGATCACTCCATCCACTTTCTACTTTGCATGTGCTGTACTGCTTTTCTTGCATGGACGTCAGTACACTGATCGGGCCCCAATCTGTTTAACTTGAGGATTGCTGTTGCTCTAACTTTAGGCTGTATGCTTCCTTCTGCTTCTTACTTCAGCCCTTATTCTGCACTTGACCTTATTGTTAGTTCCTATCTTTACTTTCATCTCCCTTTAAAGCCCATGAAGTTCATTGGGGAACCTCAGGTGGGGATCTGTGTCTGCTACCCTGAGCTACTAGGAGAAATGGTGGGATCAAAATACAGTAAACAATAACATAAAATCTCCTGGTTTAGTGCACAGATGGTCAGAAATAGGGGAGTATCAGAATGGATATTTTTTGTTTGCGGTACACAGAAACGTATCTCCTTGGGCTTAGGTAAACCTTGCTATGTAAGAAGCCGCACGATCCCAAATGAGGCCACTGGTCTCTCTTGCTCAGCATTGTCTTACACAACTCTCTAAGGTTTCATACAGGAATCGTTCCAGACCTGTCTGGAGGTGACATTGATTGGAACTGGGATCTTCTCCATGCAAACTTTGGTTACAAGTTTTTCCTACAAGACAGTTTTCTAGCCCATATTTGCAACAATTGCTGTAGGCTTGTGGCTTCCACATAAAACCTGAGTCCGTGGCAGTTTCTTATATATAAAAATGCAGCACCATCCTTGTTTGTGTTACAGAGTAAAAACAAAGACAGATCCCTGCCCTTAGGAGCTTACAATTTAAACTTGAATACATGGAAGGCTACAAAGAAAGATGTGACACCAAACAGATGAAGAACCTCCTTTCAATTCCATGCCCTTGGGCTTAGTTTCAGGAGGTGATGAGAACCAAGGGGAGAACTAGGAGGGATTTGAAGTGGGAGAGAGATGGGGGTGCCAACAAGAAGGTGTTGTGGGAGTTCCAGACATGAAGGTGGCAAGGAAGAAAGAGCTGAGTCATTTTTTGGTTCAGCCTCCCTTGGGTCTGGGATTTCTTCTAAACTCTAGGGCAGTGTCTTGATTGTGTGCTCCTAAACAACAAAGGAGGGACGTGGGAGGCACTGTGGGTTAAACCACAGAGCCTAGGACTTGCTGATCAGAAGGTCGGCAGTTCGAATCCCCACGACGGGGTGAGATCCCATTGCTCAGTCCCGGCTTCTGCCCCGCTAGCAGTTCGAAAACTCGTCAAAATGCAAGTAGATAAATAGGTACCGCCCCAGCGGGAAGGTAAACGGCGTTTCCGTGCGCTGCTCTGGTTTGCCAGAAGCGGCTTAGTCATGCTGGCCACATGACCCGGAAGCTGTATGCCGGCTCCCTCGGCCAATAAAGCGAGATGAGCGCCGCAACCCCAGAGTCGGTCACGACTGGACCTAATGGTCAGGGGTCCCTTTACCTTTAAACATCAGAGGAGAAAATGGTGGGCTTTTGGGGGGGGGTTGCAGGTATCTACTGAAAATTTTGCAGAAGAAAAAAAATGCATGGCTCGGCTAAGTTAAGAAATTTGCGATTAACAAGCGATAGTTGGTGCTAATGACAGGTGCTGCAGCAATCCTGATCTGCTGCTCCAAGCTCTTTTTTTTGAAGTGATAATTAGGCAATTGCTGAGGCCTTAGCCAAGTGGCACTTGATTTCACATGCTGCTCAAATGAAGGTCTTTGCCCGTTATCGCATTTTTGGTGTGATGGAGGCCCAAGCATTGGTCCTTGCAGGCCTTCTCCTGGCATCTCTCCAGATCCATATCTAACTTTTTCCGTTCTCAATGTGGTTTCAGGTGACTTAGATTAGTTGCAGGTACAGGTCTGCGCTGACATATAAGAAACATAATTTTTCTGATCATTTATTCTTGTGAACTCTCATAATTCTGGAATAGTACTATTGTGAGGCAAGTTTACTGCCTACCTTTAAAGTGTTGCGTTTCATTCCACTTATCAGATACGGATATACAACAGTGTGGACAGTGAATTTCTCCCTAAATGAGATGAAAGGATTTCAACAAAAAACTGCGGATTAGTTTGGGGAGGGGATTTCATATAATTATATTTAGCTTGCAGCAGTGCATTGGCAAGCTATCTTCCAGTGTTCAGTGATGTCATCTATTTACTATTGGTAGCTGTTCAGGCATTCTTGTAATGTGCTGGTAGTGTTGTGTTTTGCCGCCAAGTGTGTGTCTGCCCACGCGTTTAATTTGCAAATGATACCTCTAGGATGATAGGCAAGTACACAGGAGTTGGCTTCAAATTTTGATTTTTCACTTTTCTGATTGCTTGCCGGGATTGGAAATAAGAAATGTAGTAAAAAAAACAAAAACACCTTTGCGAACATATGGTGTTACCATAATATCCATGTATTTCTGTGACTCCCAAAAATGTATTTGGATACCTTATGAACTGTATCCCATGATATAAAGCAGTGGCAAAATGTCAACACTGCTGAAAACATCCTAAGACCATTGCTTGTGTGGTTTAAATCAAATGCTTATTAGTTCCTTCAGGGAGCTGTTGCTAATGTCAGTAAGAATTCCAGGTCGAGAAGCAGCATCTTTTAATGCCTTAAACCCACTCAGCCTACTGCTTTTATCTTACCCTGACTCAGCTGTCATTTGATCCAGCCCTAGGACCAGCTTAGAGGACTTACCATCTTTTGCAATGATTGGTGGTTAACTTCATTATCTTTAGGTTTGATATTGCATTATCCAAAAAGATGACTGGGAGATTTCCAGTAGGAGAAGGTGTCTATCTGTCTGTCTCATGTGATGGGAGAGTGGACAATCCAACTGGTCTCTCTCTCTCTCTCTCTCTCTCTCTCTCTCTGTCTCCTGGGTTCAAGAGACTCAAGATGTTAAATTCTAGAATCCATGCTCCCAAGTAGCCTTATGGATAATCAAAATACTCACATGCCTGATTTTAATTGGATCTGCTAATTAATAAGTGTGTTGGCATTTGGACCTCTTTGTATAGAGGATGACTAGTAGGAAGCAGTGGAAAAACTCCATAAGCTGTTGAAAATTTCTTCTCTTATTGGCTTCACAATCAGTTTAGAGTTTGGGGGCCCTAGCAACATATATCATGGAACTGGTTGTCATATATGCAGTGAGGCCTTCCTTCCTTCCCTCCCTCCTTCCTTCCTTCCTCCCCCAAAGTAGACTAGGTGTTGTTTTCTGACAGAATGAAAACCTTGTTAGACAGGAAGGAAGCACTGCAGACTTAAGAGGAAATTGCATTTTCAGAATTGTTTAAAGGAAGTACTGTGCTTCAAGAACCAAGACCAAGGGAGAACAAGAAACTTCTCCAGACTTCTGGTCCTGTAAATAATAATTTTGTGTGTGACCCTTCTCCATTACGCTCGTTAGTGTGTCAAAGAGTGTGACCAAAATAGATTCACAGGAGCTTTTTTTAGCAACCAGTGCTGGGTGTTGGGCACAACACTTTTGTTTCTCCCCTTTCCAAGCTCTCGGGAAAAACCTGCTTGGTTAGAATGTATGTGAAAAACCTCTCTCCATCTTTTTTAAAAAATATATATAAATGTTTTATTCAGTCTTAGGTCAACAGAACTATACAACTGACAAAGAGCATCACAGCATATTGGTCATCGCAACCTCCTACAAGATTAAAAGTTATAAATGTCCCAGTGGCTCAGTTCAATAAACCACTCCACAGGTTCAAATAGACTCAGCCCACCTGATGCTACAATGGCAGCAGCATCTCACTTTGGGGGGAGTAACCCCAATATTAACTATAGTGTTGAAAATTTAAATGCTGCCTGATAACAGCTGAGTAAAAAAATTGATTTAGGAAAAATTAATTTGAAAACTTTCCAAATGTTCGTGCATAATATGCCACGTTTATTGTCCTCTTTTGGAAATTATCTAAAGAATACATCCTGTGCACTATATATATATTTGCTTTGAGAGGAGTGATTTGACAAGATTATTATGGGCAACATCTTTTGAATAAAAACCTTATGCAAGTTCATAGTATTTATAGAAGTGCATGATTTGAGAGAAGAGCTGTGAGGAAGTAAGGTTGCTATCCAGATTACTTTTTCAGAATTCAAACCCATGTTATCAGAAGAATGTGCTCTAGGCTCAGTCACTACCCTCTCCCCTTGCGTGTTCCCGATTGACCTACTCCCCTTCTCTTTAGCGTGAACTAGTCCTAATTTGCGGATGATCTATAGCTTTCCAGTTTATATAATGGCAAACTGTAGTATGCACTTCAGAAGAAAAAAAATCCCAAAGATTGCAGCAGGGCAGGGTAATCTCATGATTAAGTCAGAATTAAATTACTCATTGCTAGGTGTAAACTGATTTTAGGATGCAGAAGCTGCTGGGACAAAGGAACAATGGCTGTTCCCACATATTTTGAAAAATACAAAACCTAGCAGTTACTTTGATCTGTCTCTAGTACAATTGAGAACACACAGATCTCTGGTGAGGCAGATTGCTGACGTAAAGAGAAGGCTGATAGCCTTCATATTAGCAAACCCGGAGATTAATTTTCAGTGGTGTTCTAAATGCCAAATTGGATAATGCTATATAGTGGCTGGAGGGCATGCAAATTCTGAAAGTTAGGTTTTATCTTCAGGTGATCGAAAATAACTTCTCAGTTTTAAGATCCCACTTCTAGATGATTGAAATATGAAGTCGCTTAATTGAATTGGAACACACAAGAGGAGAAGAGGGGGGAGCATGCAAGCATAAGGCATGTTCACATAGTGCCAAACCACGGTTTGTACCAAGCCATCTTGTGCTACAGATGGGATGGTACGTTATTTGGTTGGAATGGTGACAGCACAACC